CACAACCGTATGGTCCCTGGTCCCTAGAGGTGTGGCTAGCTGGGATCCTGTCCCCCACAGGCTCCTCCCCCTCACCTTGGTGTGCCCGAATTTGTACTGACTGGAGTCGATATCGAGGGAGCCCAGCAGCTTTTCCGCCCCCTTGCGGCTGTCGATGAACTGGCCCTCGGGGATGGCCGCGGGGTTCAGGATACGGTACCTGGGGGGAGGGGTTCGTTAGTGACCCTGGATCTCTGAGGCCATCCCATGGTGGTGCGAGCTTCCCCTGCAGCAGTGCCCCGGGGGGGCCACACCCACCTCTGTCTGAAGTCTCCGTAGAGGATGCGGTTGGGGAAGCCCTTCCTGCAGATGCGGATGCCCTCCAACACCCCGTTGCAGCGCAGCTGGTGCATCACCAGGGGGTTGTCCATCACCCCTGGGGGCGGGAAAACGGGGGTTAGTGATGGAAAGGGGTGGAGCCTGGCAGTCACAGGCCCCGCCCTTTACCTCTTGGCCATGCCCTTTGCCTCTGGAGAGGGGGTGGATAGGGAGCTTTATTCATGCAAATAAAGGCCCCGCCCCTTCCCATTGAGCCACGCCCCCGTGCCCTTAGCCCTGCCCAGCACCTTTGGGGAGGGATTGATTTGGGTGGGGGGGGCAATGTATGCCCGTTAGGCCACACCCACTCTGCTCTTTAGGTAGGGACAGAAGTGGAACGGGGCCCAATCTACAAACCACGCCCCCATCACATGCAGCCACGCCCATTTTCCCATTAATCACACCCCTCGGCCATAGGGAGAAATAGAGTTATGCAAAAAATGAACATGCCCCTCTTCCCCTTAGCCCCGCCCCTCTTCGTTTAGCCAGGTCCCCTCACCTCTGGGGAGGGATGGAGGGCAACAGAGACAGGAAAACCATGCAGACATACTCCTCACCCCCTCATCATTTAGCCTTCGGCCCTTAGCCACACCCCTCTCCCCTTTAGGACCACCCCCCAGTCCTTAGCCATGCCCCCTCCCTCTGAACAGCCCTGAGCAACAATGGAGCCTGTGACTTCCCCTCCCCCGGGGGGGGGGTGGTAACGGCGCCCAGTGGGCAGAGGCAGGTGAGGGACGGGGGATCACGTGCCTGGAGCCTTGATCTCATTGGGGATGATGCAGCGGACAAAGTGGGGGTGAGTTGAGCGCAGGTTTGTCATCAGCTTGTTTAGGTTCTCCTGGGGAGGGGGGGAGAGAGAGATTCATAGATTCATAGATTCATAGATTCTAGGACTGGAAGGGACCTCGAGAGGTCATCGAGTCCAGTCCCCTGCCTGCATGGCAGGACCAAATACTGTCTAGACCATCCCTGATAGACATTTATCTAACCTACTCTTAAATATCTCCAGAGATGGAGATTCCACAACCTCCCTAGGCAATTTATTCCAGTGTTTAACCACCCTGACAGTTAGGAACTTTTTCCTAATGTCCAACCTAGACCTCCCTTGCTGCAGTTTAAGCCCATTGCTTCTTGTTCTATCCTTAGAGGCTAAGGTGAACAAGTTTTCTCCCTCCTCCTTATGACACCCTTTTAGATACCTGAAAACTGCTATCATGTCCCCTCTCAGTCTTCTCTTTTCCAAACTAAACAAACCCAATTCTTTCAGCCTTCCTTCATAGGTCATGTTCTCAAGACCTTTAATCATTCTTGTTGCTCTTCTCTGGACCCTTTCCAATTTCTCCACATCTTTCTTGAAATGCGGTGCCCAAAACTGGACACAATACTCCAGCTGAGGCCTAACCAGAGCAGAGTAGAGCGGAAGAATGACTTCTCGTGTCTTGCTCACAACACACCTGTTAATACATCCCAGAATCACGTTTGCTTTTTTTGCAACAGCATCACACTGTTGACTCATATTTAGCTTGTGGTCCACTATAACCCCTAGATCCCTTTCTGCCGTACTCCTTCCTAGACAGTCTCTTCCCATTCTGTATGTGTGAAACTGATTTTTTCTTCCTAAGTGGAGCACTTTGCATTTGTCTTTGTTAAACTTCATCCTGTTTAACTCAGACCATTTCTCCAATTTGTCCAGATCATTTTGAATTATGACCCTGTCCTCCAAAGCAGTTGCAATCCCTCCCAGTTTGGTATCATCCGCAAACTTAATAAGCGTACTTTCTATGCCAGTATCTAAGTCGTTAATGAAGATATTGAACAGAGCCGGTCCCAAAACAGACCCCTGAGGTACCCCACTCGTTATGCCTTTCCAGCAGGATTGGGAACCATTAATAACAACTCTCTGAGTACGGTTATCCAGCCAGTTATGCACCCACCTTATAGTAGCCCCATCTAAATTGTATTTGCCTAGTTTATCGATAAGCATATCATGCAAGACCGTATCAAATGCCTTACTAAAGTCTAGGTATACCACATCCACAGCTTCTCCCTTATCCACAAGACTCGTTATCCTATCGAAGAAAGCTATCAGATTGGTTTGACATGATTTGTTCTTTACAAATCCATGCTGGCTGTTCCCTATCACCTTACCACCTTCCAAGTGTTTGCAGATGATTTCCTTAATTACTTGCTCCATTATCTTCCCTGGCACAGAAGTTAAACTAACTGGTCTGTAGTTTCCTGGGTTGTTTTTATTTCCCTTTTTATAGATGGGCACTATATTCGCCCTTTTCCAGTCTTCTGGAATCTCTCCCGTCTCCCATGATTTTCCAAAGATAATAGCTAGAGGCTCAGATACCTCCTCTATTAGCTCCTTGAGTATTCTAGGATGCATTTCATCAGGCCCTGGTGACTTGCAGGCATCTAACTTTTCTAAGTGATTTTTAACTTGTTCTTTTTTTATTTTATCTGCTAAACCTACCCCCTTCCCATTAGCATTCACTATGTTAGGCATTCCTTCAGACTTCTCGGTGAAGACCGAAACAAAGAAGTCATTAAGCATCTCTGCCATTTCCAAGTTTCCTGTTACTGTTTCTCCCTCTTCACTAAGCAGTGGGCCTACCCTGTCTTCGGTCTTCCTCTTGCTTCTAATGTATTGATAAAAAGTCTTCTTGTTTCCCTTTATTCCCGTAGCTAGTTTGAGCTCATTTTGTACCTTTGCCTTTCTAATCTTGCCCCTGCATTCCTGTGTTGTTTGCCTATATTCATCCCTTGTAATCTGTCCTTCAAGATGGAGAGAACAGGACAGAAACGGCAGGACGGATGGATAAAGAGAATGAGGCAAAGAGAGGCAGAGAGGAATGGAGAGAACAAGAAAGAAAGAAAGAGAAAGAAAGAAGCAAGAGAGATGAACAATGAAACACAGAGAGAAAAACAGATGGATGGAATGAGACAGAAACGGGGGCAGAAAGATGGATGGAATGAGAAAGCAAGAGTCAAGGAGAAGCAAAGAAGAAAGAACAAGAAACAGAGAGAGACAAGAGGGTCTGTTAGGAATCTCGTCTGGCAGAGCCGATCCTACAGGAGGTCAGGACCCTAGCTCTGCCATCTGCCCCCGGGCCCCCTTACCCTATGCAGCGCTGACACCGTCTGGAAAGATGAACCCTTCTTCTTTGATCCTTTCCCCTTCCCGCCATCATGGGCTGTGAGGGAGAGAGACCCGCACCCATTAGAAAGGGAATGGGGACTAGTGGTTAGAGTGGGGGGGAGGGGCTGGGAGCCCAGGACTCCTGGGTTCTTTCTCTGGTTATGGGAGGGGAGTGGGGTCTGGTGGTTAGAGTGGGGGGGCTGGGACTCAGGGGAGAGAGGTCTTACCTGCGTCAGCCCCCGCATAGTTGGCGAAGAGGAGGGCAAGGAGTTTGAGGGCGGATTTCTGGTAGAGCCCCACCACCGTCTCATTGAGCGGGTCCTTGTTCTTCTGCAGCCAGCCCAGGATGTTGTAGTCCACCGTGCCGGCGTAGTGCATGAGGGAGAAATGCGCTTCCGGCTTCCCCTTGATGTTCCGCGGCTTGCCGAAGTTGCCTGACTTGCCCAGGTGGTTGTCGTACAGCTTGGCCTTGAAGGTCATGTCCGACGCCTTGGGGAACATGCACTCCTCCTCCAGGATGGACATGATGCCCATGGGCTGCAGGACAGAGACACCACAGGCAAACAGCAAAGGATTAAGGCTGCCTCTCTACCCTTAACTCTGCCCCTCATGAGAGACAGACTTCAATTCCATGATCATGTGCTGTATTCCCACAGGACCCTGCCTCAATTAGCCCCCTGGCCTAGCCGGCTCTGGGGCTGAACGAGGGCTGTGTCTGCCGACCCTGCCTCAATCAGCGCCGAGCTCCGGACCCAGCCAGGCCTCTGTCTGCTGGACCCTGCCTCCTTCAGCACCTGGCATGGACTGAATCAGGCCTGTGTCTGCCAGCCCCTGCCTCACGAGTTGCAAGGCATGGAGTGAATGAGGCAGGGGCTGCAGGAACAGAAAGGCCGGTCTTGGGGCTAAGCAGCTGAATGCTGCCCCGGAGAATTAGATTCTTTCCCTGCCAAATTCTTGTAGGCCCTGCCTCAGTGTCCAGAGTGCCCCGAGCTCTCACCTGGAAACTGACATTGTAACTGATGTGACGTTGCTGTGGAAAAGGACAACGCTGTCCTACAGCTTGTCAGGACAGGTTTTTCCAGGAGAGAGAGGGAGGTTTTAATGCCATTGGACAAGGCACTGGCAAAACCTCATCGGGGATCCGGTGTGCAATTCCGGTCACCTGTTCCAGAAAGATAGCGTCCTACTGGGACAGGTGCTGAGCGAAGGGCTGCTGGGACAATCAGGGGAACGGAGACCAGGTCTTATGGGAGGCAAATGAAAGAGCTGGGCCTGATTAGCATCAAACACAGGCTGAGAGGGGATCTGAGTGCTCTATGAATACATTGTGGGAGGGAGAAGAGCTGATGAAGCGAAAGGAGAACGTCAGCACAATAGCAAAATGGATGAACTGGCCAGGGATCAGCCAAGGCTGGAAATGAGAAGCAAAACCCGACTGTAGATCCTACTCCAGCGGCCGCGACGGAGGCGTGGAGGGTCGCGATGGAGTGGCGGTGGGAGGTACCTTCTCAATGAGGTCTATGCAGGCCTGCAGGTCCATGCCGAAGTCGATGAACACCCACTCGATCCCCTCCTTCTTGTACTCCTCCTGCTCCAGCACGAACATGTGGTGGTTGAAGAACTGCTGCAGCTTCTCGTTGGTGAAGTTGATGCAGAGCTGCTCGAAGCTGTTGAACTGGGGAGGAGGTTGGGGAACAAGAGACGAATGAGAACAAAAAGTGCCCTCTGCTATGGTGAGACCATAGAGGCATCTGGGGAAGACATACCAGAGTGTAACTGCGCCTACCAGGTGGTGCTTTTCTATAGAGCCACCTAATGGAGGAAGGGAGGAACTGCACCACAACCAGCACTCCCTACAGTGCCCTCTGCTGGGAGAGGCTGGGGCTGGAGTAGCTGGGAGCTCCCCCACAACCAGTGCCCCTGCCCTGCTCCCTACAGTGCCCCCTGCTGGGGGAATCACTTACATCAAAGATCTCAAAGCCAGCAATGTCCAGCACCCCGATGAAATACTGACGCGGCTGCTTCGTCTCGAGGGTGTTGTTGATCCTGGTCACCATCCAGCCGAACATCTTCTCATACACGGACTTGGCCAGGGCTCCTACAGCATAAGCTACCTGGGGGATGACAGATGACCTGGTTACCTATCGCTCTTGCAGGCTGAGAGGGTGAATCCCAGGCCTGGTGGTCCCTGGGCATGGATCCCCGCACTCTGGGCTGAACTCATGAGTCCCATTTCCAATCACCCAGGCTCAATTCAGGTGAAAGCAAGAATGAAAGAAAAGAATGAGAAACAGGGAAGAAACAGTGAAATGTAGAGAAAGAAAGAAAGAAAGAAAGAAAGAAAGAAAGAAAGAAAGAAAGA